CAGCTGCTCAGGGGGGGCAGCCCGGCACCCGCTGGCTGGTCAGTAAGTACCTGGCGTTTCTGCAGGTAAGGTCCTATTCTGAAAAGCTGAAGTCAAGCCGTGGTAAAAAATAGACCTATTCAGCAACAAGCCGGTACAGGCATTTGGACAGAGGTGCGAGACAGATCAATTGGATTGAACTTAGTGCAGTAACAGCTCGTAGAATTTTCGGTTTCTCTGAACGCACAGACTGGAGCCACCAAAGTTTAAAATAGTTTTGCTTAGCATTATTTGATACACAGCTAACCAATACTCGCAACACATAAAAACTGTAAATATTTTGAGCATAAAATATGATGAGGTGGGATTTCTGCCTCCAGCGTCCTGCCAACTCTATTTAAAAGCCCCTAGCTGCTCTTCCCGTGGTTTTTATGACAGAAAACTAACAAGTGTTTGTAGTCTGTAATATATGTATGCCTTTTGCACTCTCATTTAGCTGAAGAAATAAGCCGGTATAAAAAGATAGGCAGGTATCAGCCATTCTGGCCATAGAGACAAACATATGAGCAATGTCTAAATCTGACACACCAGCACTGTTACCTTGCACTGCTGCTTGGGAAGGTCAGTGGAATCACATTTTCTGTCTTAAATTCAGAAGGACCCTACTATCATTATTAGGACACTTCTCATCCAAAACTGTTCTTACTCGTTTTTATGTGTTGCATATTAAATGTAGAGTAAGACAACAGAAGTACATGGGAAGGAGCCTGTGAGCTCTAGGCATTTCAGGTAAATCAGTTATAAATGAAGAGGAGGTGGGGAGGTATTTGTTCTGCTTTCTATTTTTTTGACACGTTCTGGTGCCACCTAACTTCAGACACCTTAGCAGAAGGCATTTGCCCGAAGTTCCATAATGGAAAGAGATAAGCTGCTGTTGAGAGCCTGCTTAAGATCTGGATAGTTTTTTTGAGGTGTTTTTTTCTCTCCATTAATAGAAAGGTACGGTATAGGTTGACCAAGCAGACTTTTCACTTAAATGGTTTGGTGACATTCCTTAAGGTGGTTGAGGAAATGTCTTCACACATGATCTGCCCTAGATGTTGTTCCTGCTCTGGCAAGGGGGTTGGACTTGATGATCTTCAGAGGTCCCTTCCAACACTTATGATTCTATGATTCTGTGATTCTATGATTTGCACTCTT